TGACCCCCAACGACTGGCTTTCCCGCAGCGTTTTGGTCTGGTTGCGCGCTGTAGCTACCAGCTACCTCGGCCACCGCTGAGAACCGAAATATTACCTTGTTTCCGCCGAGAAGAATAACCGCGGACAACCTTATGACAGATAAACTGCCATCGACGATCGTCCTCGAAACGGTCTGGGTCTGCGCTCCCTTTCCATCACGCGATTCGATTTGGCAAAAATAAAAAAAAAAACGGTCAACCGTATACAATGCGATACCAGTCATTGGAGTACTATTCACGATTCAAATATTCAATTGTGTCGTCTTTCCACTCTCGTTGGGTATGTGTCCTTTGCATACAACTCGTACACACGAGACTGCTGAAACTGAAACTGAAACTTCGAGTGTACTTGGTATTATACGAATGATATTTAATTGTATTTAGCGGTTGACGATTCGAGTGTTGTTCCACGAGTAGAAGATTTCATTAAATTCGTTCACCACTTCTACTTCCCCCGATTATCGTTTGCGTTTCTACTGCTTCCGCGGTGTTTCCATATTCGTATTTATAGTACGTACAAACGTTAACACCGAAACTCGAACTCTGTTTGGGACTAAGTGCATAAAAAGAGACGTCTATCGTTCGTAGAGACGCGTATTCTGTCCCAACGAGCGAAGACAGAAGATAACATGGAAAATAAACGTCGTCTTAGATGGAAAGGCATCGTTTGAAAATTCCAGACGCAACGACGCGGCGCGGACGGAGTCATCGACAGCGTTAATTGTAAAAAAACTGGTCGAAACGTTTTTCGAAACGCCTCGATGATCTGTTGTTATGAAACTCGTCCGAGACTCGAGAAGAGCAACGGGTTACGAATCCGCTACGTTACCGAAGTACGCGTGCACGGATCGGATTAAAATCGAATATTGATTTCGTCCGTGTGTTGTGTCAGCCTCGGACCGTTAATGAAACAATAATAAGCGTACGCGGGGTGCTCGTATTGCTCGCGCATACTATACGACGAAATTACACAGAGGTTGTGAATGTAGTAATTAATGTTCGATAATGGCCAACGACACTTGAAATTATATTCCTGCGAGTTTTAGCCACTCGGTGACAATATTTGCGTCAACTTGTTCGCACGTATCACTCTACGCGCTTATCCTTTTCGTTTCCTATCCCATTATATTTGCAACTATCCATCGGCATCGGTCGATCGAACGATTCAACGGCTATCCTTCTCTCTTGCCTTGCCAATTGTTTAGTTTTCTATGAAACACGCGTGTCGGACTAGGACTAGAACCGAGAATGCTTCGTCGCGGAGATAGAACGAGGAGGAGCCCTTTCGATATCGAAAGAATAATGCTAGCTCGAAATCCAGAGCTGGTGCGCGGATGCGTTTGTCACAGATACTTGGCCCGGTCGTAAAAACTCCCGCTACCTTTTCGATACTCGTATATTCTGGAAGAACGAAATGTTTCAACGAAATATGTACCTCGTACGTGACGCGTGTTTCGAGTCGCCAGAAATCTGCCAGCTTACCCCGTCAATCCTAAATATGCGGAACGCGTAAGGATAGACCGTAAGTACGTGCTCCGCCGAATTTACGATTGTAAGCGTTTCATATATACGATTTTCGAAACGATCGTCGCGTGTATCGATCGTCGTTCGATCGCTCCGTTGGAAAATACGTACAAATACAACGATACGGATAAAGTTCGCAGACTTTACCGACCATGAGTCCCGATGAAAATGGAACACGGTCCAATTTAGCCGCTTCGTAATATCGAACGATACTCGAGGAAATTGTTGGGGGGATGGGTACAAAGAGGACGATATACATGCGGCAACAAAAGAAATGGGAACACACCAAACTATCTCCGTTCCGTATGGTTGAGTGAAAGAAACTCTTGGAGATAAAATGAAATGATCGTTAATGGTACCGCATTAAATGTCACGTGAAGGTCAACATATTGAACCTCGATGGATTCATTTTTTCATAAGCTATTAGACTGTTGTAGTGAAAATATCCAGTCTCTGTCGTATGCATAGCTGTAACTATACGCATAGCGTGTCTGACATTATCTCATTCTCCTTCAGCCGTACGACACGCGTAGCGTGTCTGACCATATTATCCCATTTTCCTTCAGTCCATTGCACGACCGCGGCGCGTAGTGCATGGGATTTTTGTTTCTTTTTAATTATTTAACCATGTTCCGGGACTCCGACCGTTCTGAAACTTTTACATGTGTCAGCTAAATAACCGATCATCATTCCTGATTTTCTTCATATGTGTCACTCCCAGGATTCTTTGCAATTACCACACGGAAAAAAACAAAAGAAATGGGAACACACCGAACTTATCTCCGTTCCGTATGGTTGAGTGAAAAAACTCTTGGAGATAAGATGAAATGATCGTTAATGATATCGCCAACTTATCATGACCATCAAATAATCGGTATGCGATTTTCGATTTACCCTCGAGCTCTCGAGTCGCTCGCGGTGCGTTCAACGTTCGATATCCTATATTCAATGTTTGATTCGATGTTGATGTTGTTTGGAAAAAAAAGTTCCCAGCAATCTTCGGAGTAACCGTGGTAAATCGCGCGGGAACTCGAAGGAATGGAAAGTGGAATGTTGAAATCCAAACAGAATCGAAAGCTCTAGTTGCTCTAGTCTATCCCGCTTTTACGGTGCTTCGCTTTACTTTCAATTTAATTAGTCGAGCAAAAGTCGCCGGGTAAACTTCCGGCCATGCTATTTCGAGGCTAGGGCCAACGGAAAGAGGAAGAAAAACCCCAAACAAACCTTTCGGCGAAACTCGAAGCTAACTTTTTTGCGCAACGACGAGGAGCGACGCAACTTTTTATTACGTTTACCTCCGATGCAACTTTGTTTCTGTACACGCGAGGATAGTTTGTCCACTTTTGCGAATTCCACGCAAATTCGTTCGATTCTTTCAAGTACTAGAAAAAAATAATGCTAGAAAAAAGAATTTTCCAGGATTTCTATAAAGAAGGTATTTGAAAAACACTGTACGAAAATCGACCTATTTTTGCACCGTTTGCGTCCTGTACATTTTTATATTATAAAATTTGTTCCAAATCTGTGGAATCGCCACGTGGCAAACCTTCCTCTTTAAAAAGTTCTGTCCTATTTTTGTTTCAGACGTGCCGATCCGAAGATTGTTTGTCCGTCATGGGAACACCTTTTTATCGAGGGCTCGACTTCGTCGCCCTCTGAAAATTGGAAAAAAAAACACTGGACGATGTAAATCATTTTTTTCCCATTCTATAAGAATGGTATTATGTCGTAGAAAAATTTTTAATTTTATTATCTAATAAGAAGCTAAAAAAACGTTTTCGAAAATAAGCTTGTTTTTCGCTCTCTAGACTAGAAACCTACCTTCGACATTATCGGATAGAATCGAGTTTTAATCTGTCAAGTTAATCATTAGTCTAGAATTCGTTCTCGGCAACGACAGTTCGCGCTGCTCCTGTAGCCGCACCCGTGCTTGCCAACCGTTAACATTCGAATCCAAAAAAGAACTTACTTCAACCCGAGTATCTTTCTTAAACTTTACCCAGCAGGTGATCATTTTGTCTTGCGGTGAAAAGGATCGAATGGCTTTCAATCGAATTTCTTTATCCGGGGCATATATACACAAAGGGATGAATCGGACGTTCCTTTGTTAGTATTCACGAGTGATTCGCTAATTAAGCTCCTCGAATCTCGCTCGATATTGCAAGTAAACGAAAAGAGACTTGGCGAGCGAAAAAACACTCTCTCCTTGTTCGAATGTAATTTAAAAAGTTAGCCGTTCCCGTTTCCGTAAAAACGCGTTTCATATTTAGATATTCTCCTTATAAATTCGTTCACTATTCACTGCTGTTATCTTCAAACGGATAATAGTGGCTTTGGTTTAGGCACGTCGCTGTTATACTCGATAAGCAATAATGGAATTTGTACTTTTACAAGAATCGCTATTATGGAACAGACGAGTGTTCGTTACGGTACATTAAGAGATGTGCATCTGCCGTTACGGCAGCCACGGTACATACTCGAATTCAATTGTCGTGAATTTCTAAGCACGTCCGTTACTTTGAAACGAAGGGCTTACAACAGAAATAATTTTACGTGCAGATATCGCGATCGCTGTTCGTGAAACGGAATCTCAGAAAATCTCACGGTCGCGTAATTGCCAAAGAAAAATAATTTCACGCGACAGAGAATTAACCGCATCCGTGTTCCGAGTTTGATGCAATTGCTTAACGTAACGAATTATTTCGATTATTTCGGAAACGACGAACAATGACATTTCTCGTGACATTTACGGAGAAATCCGGATCGGACCGAGTAGCTATTTCTTCGAGAAATTTGATTAAAGTAACGCGCGTCGTTTCACTTTATTAGAAATGTCAAATTAAGCCGAGGAGCTAGGTGACGATACGGTTACGGAATCGATTACCGTAACGTTCATCGTAGCGCGGTTACTCCAAATTCTAACTCCCAACCATCTTACCGCGTACAGACGTGTTGAACCTTGATAGTCCACGTGAACCAGAGCTCGAAAATTGGGCTCGTGGGATTACACATTTGGCGAAATCATGGATCCGAGTACACGCGTGTTGTAGAATATTTTATTCGCATTGCGAATCCAAAATTCCAACGTACATCGGTACTGATAGCAACGATAACAACATGAACAAGAAACGATTCTATTGGCGTAAAAGGTTCAATTGCATAAATACTCGTTTATCAAAATACAGAATACACTTTTCAAGACAAAACAAACATAATTGCGCAAATTAAACTGATAATATATTAAAATTAAATATGAAACTACGGCCGTGGCCGTTGTCTAGTTTTTCGATCGACGAATATGTTTTCAAATCGATAAATAAAAATTCGATCGATTATTAATACGTAAGTATGGGTAAATTAGACGAACGATGGTCGATTCCTATGGATATCCGGTAAGAGACAAATCTACTATACCAATCTAGTTTCGGATACGTTACCTTTCGGACACTTGTGCGCGTACCTCCTCGAAACAAGACGAAACTGGACAGCTCGTTTTGACAGTATACGAGAAACGGAAAACGTCCCGAATAGCCAGTTTACATAAGGATATCGGTTCACGCACCAACGAAACACTTGAATCTCTCGCGCTCGACTCCAAGTTATCGGTTTTGTAACATGAATCGATCGTATCGATCTGTTACGAGATTACTTCGGTCGATAGATCGATGCACCGTTGGCGACTGCGAGTGTCAGATTTTCAATTTCGTCGATCCGTCACCGAACCTGACCGATTTCGTGCTCACGGTCATTCGGTCCACTCGGACCTCTATCGTCGATCCCTAGATCCTTCGTTACACGTAAAAACGTCTTCTTCGACGCGATCACTGTTTCGATAAATTTGTCTCAACGTCTCGATGCAAAGCTACCGGTCGATCGTTGCACCACTTTTATCCAATTTTCGATGACAGGACCGTCGATGGAAACCATCGAGTAAGTTCCGTTAATTTCGCAGGACAGCACCGAATTTTCCATGAACCACTGTTTAAACGGTTACGTTAATCGAAAATGTCTCCCTGCAAGCAGAGAGAAAAAGAGAGGAACACCCACCTGAAAACCGTGCGCGCCGAGGATCGGGCGGTGACTGAAACCACCATCCCGACTCGCTCGCTATCACCTCCTCCCTTTTTCGCTTCAAACCTCCCTCCAACGCTCGCGGTGGTCTTCTCTCTCCATCTTTGTCTTCCTCTCTCGCTCTCTCTACCGCTACCTCACCCACTCGCTCTCCCACTACCTCTACCTCTACCTATTCCCCTCCCGGCGCCGCGACGAGATACCAAATTTTCTTTTTCTAGTCGCCCCTTCCTTCGTCTCCTTGTCATTTTCGGTTTCCGTCTTGCTCGACGTTACTATCTCCGTTGTTCTCGGACCTCCTCGATTCCTCCAACGAGTTCACCAATATATCTATTTCTCTCCATCTTGGTTACCCTTATCAGTTCCTCCGTCTTCCTCGCCCTTATTCTTCTTCCCCTGCGTCCGTCTTCGTCCAAACCGTGGTTCGCTCGTATCTGTCCTTCGCGATCGTAGAAATTGCATCTTTGTTCGCGACGAGGGTTGCATCCACCCACGCTCGTGTCTCTTCCCGTATCGCACGTGTGCGTATCTGGCGTCTCTGTTCCTCTCTGTGTGCACGCGCAACCATCCGACGCGCGACGGGCCAACGGCGAGTGCCACGCCTACCCCTTCCGTATATGCCTATCGTCCATGTGCCACCACTATCACGCGAGAGTGTCGCCTAACCTCGAGCTTTCCGAAGACGCTCGAACTTGAAGCTTTCTTTCCTCGGCGCGGCGCGCGGCCTGCATTCGAATTCACGGATCGACTACTGCACTCGGTTACGTGCAATCGCTCGTCCGCGTCGGCTGATCCGCTACTCGCCGAGTACCCGCTTCGGATTCGCCTGCGAACACTATCGACTATAATTACTGACTCAGAGGGAAAGGCTTCTTAAAATGAGACTTGTTAAAACGACTGTTCGCGTCGCGGATGTTTTACTCGATCGCGTCGACGCCGACATACGAGAAGCACGGGGTTAATCTGATCTCTGACGTCCGTTATTGCCGGTATTCTTCCATTTTCCAAAATAAAGAGAATGCCGATTCTCATCTTGGCGCTCTGTGTACTCTTTGCGCTGACCCTTTTTACCTTTCTGTGTAACGAGAATTTTGGTTAAACTCGAGCTTGGGTTCGCGATAACGTACAAGTAACCGTGTTTCACCTTCGTACAGAACGTATAGTACTTGTTTTTATTTCTATACGATAATTGTCGGATTCTTCTCTGAATAAACAGGTATCGGGATTATTATTGTCATCGTTGTTAAACGGCATAGGCGTAATATTGAAAAATCTTGAAAAAGAAAACTGTCGAGAAACGGAGTACTCGGGTTTGCGTTGATCAACGAACGCGTTCTTTTCACAGCTTTGTGTACGCTGCACGATACAATCTCACTTTCGAGGAGGAGAACGTACAAATAAATTGGTCCGACAATTTTACCGAAACGTTTTGGTGGCTTTGAAGTCTGTATATCGCGTAATCGTTACACGCGGCGCGGCGTTTCCGTATGTACGACTTTATAGGCCATTATAGGAAGAACGCGGAGAGGGTAAAGTTTCCTGTGCGACTGCTGCGAAAAGCGTTAAAGCTGGCTTGGTCGTACGTAGGTCAATATACCACAGCGCGTAGCCGCTATGCGAGTGGAGTAAACCAATATTGCTGCGACAGTAGTATCAACCTGTGGAGTATCAGAATCGCTTGAAATACACTCGTGGTTATTAAATTAACACGCATGAAACGAAGGTAATACCTACGTCCGCGATAACACACGCTTGCAGATTATTCGATCGATAAACGTTAACGCGTTTCGATATCTCTTCATTTCACGGCCGACAGCCGTAACTGTCGAAACTTTTTCTAAAAATGCAAACATCGTTGTAGAATTTTGTCCAGGGTTGGTTTAAAATACATCGAGTATTCCCACTTTTCTGGCGAAAATTTCACACACGAATGTTATACACTTTCAAAGAAATGTTGTTTTTGCCGCCGCAGCCGCGAGACACAAAATATGATACTCCCTGTTCAAGTTATCGACGGTATCGGTATTTTGTATCTAAAAATCGTTGTGGCGAATAATTTTTGTTTAAAATTCAGTGCGATACTGACGTGGAAATAAATAATTAAATAATTAAAAAGAAACAAAAATCCCGTGCGTTACGCTCCGTGTAATGAGCTGAAAGAGAATGAGATAATAGTCAGACACACTACGCGTGCCGTTACACCTGTGCATGCGACAGGGGCTGGATATTTTCATTGCAACAGTCTAATAGCTTATAAAAATATTAATCCATCGAGGTTCAATATTTTGAACTTCACGTGATATTTAATTCGTTTCATATTTGCCAGTTTTATTTCTTTTAAGACATAATGAACAGAATACTTTTAAGGAAAATTTTATGATATCAATTACAAAATTGTCGAAACAGGTTGCCTCCCTGTCGTTTGCATAGCTGTAACGATACGCGTAGCGTGTCTGACCATTATCTCAGTCTCCTTCGGCCCATTGCACGACCGCGGCGTGTACTGCATGGGATTTTTGTTTCTTTTTAATTATTTAACCATGTTCCGGGACTCCGACCGTTCTGAAGCTTTTACATGTGTCAGCTAAATAATCGATCATCATTCCTGATTTTTTTAGTAGGTGTGACTCACAGGGTTGTTTGCAATTACCACCCGGAAAAAATTAATTATTTATTTTCTACCCTTAATAATTAAAAAAATATCTTGCAAAAAATATATGAGATACAGTTTATAAGCAGGAATAATATCTGAATATCAGAAGTAGAATTTGAATATCTGAAGTAGTAACCGAGAAAAAAAATAATAAAGTTAAGTGATATTACCCTTAAACAGGGAGATAACAGTCTGAAACTTTGCGGAATGATGTTTTGGGTCAAAAGCATTCCACGGCACATAATAGCAATGAAAATTTTGGGTGGGGCCGATTTCCTATCCTTATTCTGCTAGATCCTTTGGTTGGATAACGATATTTCTCCTGTGGTGTATTCAACGACTAGGAAAGTAAAATTCCATGTCTCATGGCGGATACTTTCTTTCCACCTCTTCTCCTTCCATAAACTTCTCAGCGAGAAATACTTTCAACGTTTTTTGACGCCCGCCGTCGTTTCTCTCTCTCGAAAGAAAATTTAATTTCGCGTTACGCGACTCAGGAGGCCAACCGTTTTCCACCCGTCTCGCGCGCACCGTATTCATAGAAGTTTTGAAAGCAGAATTAGTCTTTCGACCAGGGGGTCCAATGTCACGTAATAAAAATTGGTACAAAGTTTGCAGCGCCGCTTGGAAAAAAATCACCAAACTAAAATGTGGAACGCATACGCGCGTATGCATATACCCATAGGTTTAATTGAAAAAGTATAATTATCGAAATGACGGTAGTCCTGCGGCTGTACTTTTACTGGTTTACATTCTTTTAAATAATTTAAAGCAATTTAAAAAAAAAAACCCTGATACTGTATATATACATCATACACGCGTATGCGCTCCACATTTTAGTTGGGTGAATTTTAAGCTACAAACTTTGTACCAACGTTTAATACGTGAGCTTGGCCCCCCTGCTTCCGACAGGGCCAAGCACGGCTAAACGTCTCAACTCGCAGCAGCCGCGCGTCGGCGTCGCGTCGCGTCGTGGCATACAAGACTTGGACTACTTACAATTTGAGTCTCGCCGCTGAGACACGCCACGTTTCTGTTCCAGGTTCCCGGTTCCCGCTGTTTCACGCCACAACGAGCAAGCATCCTCTTCAGAGGCATTATGCATACATAAGACAACGCGTGATTCCCTCCGAGGTAAGGGGATTCACCGACACCTATCGCTGCGCGATGACGATCTACCGATGCCGTCAAATTACATCGAATCGTATCGCATCGCGTCGCGGTTAGTATCTCGTCGATACTCGATATCGCGCAATATCCATCGAGAATTGTAGGTTCACCGTTTACCTTACGTAGAAAAACAATCGCGCGGTCGTTTAAGCGTTGAACAGAAGCGAGATTAAACTGCTTCGGCGAGCCGGCTCCGAGCCAATTGTTTTTCATTAGCTGATAGAACGTCGCGTCGGTCGGTGTAAAACTAATAATATAGGCGAAGCGAGATCCCGAAATTCGGCCAGCTCCGCGGAAAACAAATATCTGCTGAAACCGCCGTCGAAGCGTATCGTCCGCGAACTAGCCAGAGTGCATCTCCCCGTGGCAACTATGCAAAGCATTTCCAATTTCCACGTATGCATACGTGTGGCTATCGACGTTGGACCTCCTTTATCCTCTATCTTCTATCTACCATCTACCGTCTACCATTTGCCATCTTCCATCTTCACCGCTCTATAGAAGTTTGTCGGACCGGTAGAATCTCGCCGCTCGCTTTATTACTCGGAGGACATCGAAGTCGTGCAAAGAACGATACGGGTGTTGATCGCGCACCCGTTTCGGTTCGTTTCGCATCCCTCGGCGATATCCGCGATATAAATCTCGTTTGTAAAATGTCTCTCATACCGAGCGAAACTACTCGTACGAGACTACCATACAACCTGTCACGCGACGACGTGTCCTTTCGGTTTGGTTTCACTTTTCGAGCGCATCCCATGGTCGTGCGTGTATTAATAAATAAAACCGATACGACGAGAGACGGCGATGTTAGAAATTCTGAAACGAGCACCGTTCGTCGAGCGAATACCACGAGCTCGAAACGTTCGCTCAGGGTAACTCAGTTTTACGCGCAAAGTTGATCGCATCAAAGAACTCGGGCCATTGTTTGAATTTAATTTTATATCCGGTCGGACGTTAAAAGAATCTCGAATTCACGTATCATGACTTCTATAATTAAGAATACGTCGTGTCGTGAATTGTGAAAAGACGAAGAAGAATTCGTATCGCTCGAGAGCAATTGAAAATCTAGCCCCCGGTGCTCCGACATGTTGAAAAAAGTTTAAGTTCCGCACACTCTTAGTGGCTCCTTTTGTATCTCGAATTTAATAATACTTTTTAATAGCGCGCCGTACAAAG